CTTCCTTCCTTCTTTCCTTCCTTCCTTCCTTCCTTCCTTCCTTCCTTCCTTCCTTCCTTCCTTCCTTCCTTCCTTCCTTCCTTCCTTTCTCTTTCTTTCCTGATTCTTGAACTCAGGGCCTGGGTACTGTCTGTCCCTGAGCTGCTTTTGCTCAAGGCTAGCACTCTCCACTTGAGCCACAGTGCCATCAGGCCTTTTCTGTTTATGTGGTACTGAGGAATTGAACCCAGGGCTTCATGCATGCTAGGCAAGCACTCTACCACGAAGCTACATTCCCAGGCCTGGAGTGCTTTTGTTGAGTTAGAACTTGGACAGTTGTGGTAGGGCTGAGGCCCAGGGTGTGGGGCTGGGGTAAACCTCAAATGCCACTGGGAGACAAAGGAGAGGGGAAGCAGCACCTGTTTGGGGATGGTTATTGGGAAAGGCAATCAAAGAATAACACTGGCAGGGCCCTGAGAAGAGGTCAGAGATAAGAGAGAGGAAGTAAGATTTGAAGTGTGAGGACTGAGGGGATGTGGAGCTGGGGAAGGGGGCTCACCTTCAGTGATGGTGAGGTTGGTCCCTTTGATGGACTGCCACTGCTGCTCACCCATTTCCTTTGTCTTCAGATGGATGCGGCAGAAGTACATGTTCTCGTCCTCCTTCCGAAGGTTCAAAATGGACAAGGAGCCTGAGGTCCTGTCCTTTGTGAAGTTCAGGACCAGCCGGTCCTTGAAATGCTTATGGATGAAAGGTGGGGTCGTGTTGTAGATGAACTCCCCGTGGAACCACATCCATCTCCAAAACAGCTTCACCTTGGGATTCCGGGGCAGCTCCCAGGGGTGGAAGAAGCTGAAGGGGATTTCGATGGAGCCTCCCACAATGGCAGAGAGGTGTTTCGGCTGCTTCATCCCAAAGTTTCCGTCTGTGAGGAAGGGGAAGGAATGTGAAGCAAGGCCCTGCCAGAGGGGAGGCAGAGACGAACCCCAGATGCTCCTGCCCCTGCATTCCCAGGGTTTGGTGGGACAGATGGCAGGGCTGACCCTCTCCAGGCTTGGGAGAGGAAAGTGGGTGAAGGGTTGGTTCTGGCCACCTCCTCCCACACAGCTCTCTGCACATCCCTAGCCCCCAGGCTCCCCGTGGCTTGATGGTTGTGGCCACTCACCAGCTGTCAGGACTCCTGCAGGCAGTAGCAGCAGTGCCACCAGGACCCACCTCATGGCTGGTCTCCTCTGGGGAGAGGAGGCCTGCTGAGTGCCACAGCCGGAGAGGAGGCCCTGACAGAGCCCTGGGGGCTTGCACAAGTGGGGTGAGTGTCACGTGGGGATTCTGGGTCAGACTGCTTCTCCCCAGGGCTGAGGGAGGATGTTCACTCTCCCATCCCCACCTCCTTGTGGTCCACAACTTCCTTCACCATGTGGCTTCTCCTTTTCTTAGAGGGCAGAAGGGCCTCCCTTGTGCAGTCCTCCAGCCTCCACCTCCCATTTGGTGCTGAGAGACTCACCTTGCCCTTGGCCTCACCTGTCCCAACTTGACCACCTGCCTTGTCTGGTCCTTCACCGTGGTCTGTGCAGTCTCCATATCCCCTTCTCATCCTTCTCCCCTCCTTTTCTTCCCCTGCTTCCCCATCTCTGGGTGTCTCTCTTATTCCCCAGTCTCTGCCTGTCTCTCCTCCCAGGGGAAGGGGCTGCCCAGGGCCAGAGCTAGCTGTTTCAGAGAGAGGAAGGTGGGCATGAGTGTTTGCTCAGCTCTGCTTCCAGACACAGGTCTTAGAAAGGGTGAGGATCTGGGTGCCGTGGTCTCATGACTGTGAGGTGCTAGAGAAGGCTGAGTTCTGGGGATGGTGCATCAAAGTCAGCCCCAGAATGAAAGTTTATGAGACTCTTTTTTTTGGGGGGGGGAGGGGATCCAGTTGTGGGACCTGAACTCTGGGCCTGGGC